AGTCTTTCCTTATGTATCTGCGTTGTGAGACCAGGTGTAATGAAGGCTACGACAAATAACAGGTTATAACTGTACGTCGGATCTAAATTTTAGCAGTTTTTTGCGGGTGAGGTATGAACAGAAATTTAGAAACAAGTGAAATACTATATTCTCCATTTCTTCCTCTGTTTCTTAAGTTCCTAACGAACTGGTAGCTTTAGTTTTACCGCATCCTATCGTTCAATCAGTATTTTCTCACATTCTCCTTTTGAGCTAATAAATCATTCCATTTTTTCCAGTTTCTTTTTGCATCTCTACGTTTCCCTTACTGGGTTCACTCGTTTGAGGTTGTATATGTATATATATGTTTGTGGATTTGTGGTGAGCGAGTTTTTATGAGCAACTGAATGTGCGGGTTTACGAGTTTACTTATTCATTCTAAATCTAACCTCTTCCGTATAGTGGCTTTGAGGAGTCTTCTGAACAGCTTGAGTAGCAGTCTTCGGATGTTCGGCATACAATTCGCTCCTGTAAAATGAAAGATGATGCTTCAAGACTGTCTGTCTGGATTCAACATAGAACTTGGCACCGAAGTGCAGCAGTTCGAGTTGCCATGTTCCAAAATAGCACACAGAGGTAGACAAGAAGATGAGTGAAGAGAATCAATAGAGTTTGACAAGTATAAGAGTGAAACAGAATGGGTAATGGTAGAAAGGAATATGAAAGATTACAGAGACTGAATACATCTGCGCTGGCCATTGACAACGATTTTGAGCCATGTCACCTATTGCCTCCAGCCATTGATTCCTAGAGTCCCGAGGGCCCCAACCCGGGAGTCTGCATCTCCCTACCTGACTCAGTTTAACTGTCAAGGATTTCATTGATTGATGAGGCCATGTTTTTGTTTGGCCACCACTGGCTCTTTTCCAACCTGCACCTATATCAGCTAGCAATGCCTGTCGGGGGAGGCGGTGGTTAGGCATGCGCAGCACGTGACCTAGCCATCTTAGTCTATGTAACTTTATAGCCTCGTCGATTGATTTTCCCTCTTTGCCCAACACTCTACGCCTAACATCAACATTACTTATCTTGTGAAACCACCTAACGTGAGACAGAGATCGCAGACATCTATGATCGAAAGCAGTCAACCTTTTCATGTCTTCAACGTGTATTGGCCATGTTTCAGAGCCATAGAGAAGGACGGAGCGAACTGCAAGACTTGACTACACTGACAGAATAAAGGGAGGGGGTGAAGTAGTTGAGTGTGTTGATCACTTCATTTATAAAGTTACATCTCAGCACAGTATGTGTAGCACTTACCAGCTTACATCATCTCTGATGTAGACGTGATATCTAGTTATCTATTAAAGGACGTGTGTACTTCACAACAGTCCTCTCTCTCCTTCTTTATAGCTGTGAGACATGTTGATTGAGAGTGGAAAATATGAAGTAGCTTTCTGTCTTTCATCATAGGAGTTTGATTTCCATCTCTCTTGTCGTGAAATAGTTTGGAGAGTAACTGTGAGGTGTAGCCTAGAGTGCTAGGTAAGTTGATAAGTCAGCCCATAAGGTTGTGGAGCTACGTCGGTTGGCGAATGCTAGAACACGTTGTCTGTCTGTCTGTTTTCGACATAGAACTTTGCACCGATGTGCACCAGTTCAAGTCGACACACTCCCTTCATGTAGCACACAAAGCAACAGAAAAAATGCATAATAGAGACAGTAAACAGAGGTGTGACACAGGAATAGTAATAACGAAGAATATAGTTTCAGTGGAAATCACAAGTCACAAGGAGTGGATGCATCTGCGCTAGCCATTGAGAACGGTTTTCAGCCATATCACCAATTAATTGTCTCCAACTATCGGTTTTCACCGTCCCGAGGACGCCAGCCAGTCAGCAAGTCTACACCATCCTACGTGGCTTAAACGGACTGTTGTGGATTTCATTAATTGATGAAGCCATGTTTTGGTGTGCCTACCACTGTATGGTTTCTAAACTGATCCTATGTCAACTAACATTGCCCATAGTCGAGGAAGGCGATGGCTAGGGATGCATACGCAACACATGTCCTAACCATTTCAATAGATTTAACTTCACAGCCTCGTCTATCGATTTCCCCTCCCTACCTAGCACTCGACCGTTGCCTAACCTCAATATTGCTCACCCCATTAAACCAGTTCACATGAGAGATAGAACTCAGACACCTCTGATCAAAGACAGCTAGTCAGGCGTTTCATGTCTTTCACTTCCAATGGCCATGGCTCTCACAGCCATAAAGGAGAACGGTGTGGACTGCTGCTGAGCAGTATACCCGCCCTTTGGTCTATAGCCGGATATCACGTCTACGCCAGAGATGGCGTAGATGTGTTTGGCATGGCGAGACGTCGCCTTCTTAGATGGGCAATGTTAGCTGACATGGAATCAGGCTGGCAAATTTACAGGTGGTTAAACCAAAACCTAGCATCATTCCATCAAAATCTGACATCAATCGTTGAAGTCTATGACAGTAATTTTTCGGCCAGCCACATGAGGTGTAGGATATCTGGTTGAGGTTCCAGGGATTTTAAAAACCAATAAATAGTTGGAGGTTCTCGGTGATATGCTGTAAAACCGTCCTCAGTGGTGCAGATGCATTCACTCCTTTTAGTGTCACAGATCCATTAGATCCTATATTCTTTTTGGTTTTTTTATATTTATTTTTTTGTAATACTCCTTTTAAATGCGCGATGAAATTAGATGCAATATTGTAGATATGTGCTGAAAATTCCACACTGTACCACTGGTACTGTTTCTGGAATAAAGCAAATTATTATTATTATTGCGCGTCGGTGGCACAGTGGTTAGGACTCTAGCCGACCATGCATATGGTCCGGGGTTCGAGCCCACGCCGACGCACACCTGATATCTATGGTCGGCCTGCGAAATTTGGGCTACCGATATCCATGCTGAAAATTCCATACTTGTACCAAAAATATGGTGTGGAATCAAGCTGTAATCAAAAAAAAGATAAAATAAAATAAAATAAAAAATTATTATTATTATTATTCCATGTTACTATTCTCTCTCTCACATTTCTATTCACTGTAGTCCTCTACCTCTGCGTGCTACATGAAATGTGGCAACTTGAACTACTGCCCTATTGTTGTACAGAGTTCTACATTCAGACGTCATATCAGGCTGTTCAGCAGTCCACTCCGCCCTACTTTATGGCTGTGAGAGAGACATGGCTATTGGGAGTGGAAGATATGAAAAGGCTGGCTAGCTGTCGTTGATCAGAGGTGTCTGAGTTCTATCTCTCATGTGAACTGGTTTAATGGGGTGAGCAATATTGAGGTTAGGCAACGGTCGAGTGCTAGGTAAGGAGGGGAAATCGATAGACGAGGCTGTGAAGCAATTGCATCGGTTGAGATGGTTAGGACATGCGGTACATATGCCTAAACATCGCCTTCCCCGGCGGGCAATGTTAGTTGGAAAAGATCCAGTTGTACCCGTGCCAAAACATGGCTTCAGTCAATGAAATCCTTAACAGTCAGTTTTAAGCCACGTAGGAGGGTTTAGATTTTCTGGTTGGGCTCCTCGGGTGGGTAAAAACCAATAACTAGAGACAAGTGGTGATACGGCTCAAAATCGTTCTCAGTGGCTGGCGCAGATTTATCCACGCTTTGTGACTTAAAATTTCCAATAAAACTATATTGTTCTTCCATGTTGCTATTCTTTTAGCCTCGTATTTCTGTTTATCATCTCTGTTTTTACTTTCTTCTCTTACTTTGTGTGCTATGTAAAGCGTGGTGACTCGAAGTGGTGCACATCGGCGCAAAGTTCTACTTTGAAACCAGTCAGTCAGTCACATTAAAACTCAGTCAGAAGTAAGTGGTGCTTTGAACTTCATTCATTCGATTTAAAATTGACGTGGCAGAACAAGACTTATCACTGATGATTACAATATCATCTACATACCTTTTATAAGGTGGCAGATTTTCGATTAAATTCTCCAAAGATTCTCAATGTACGACAAAACAGTTGACATTTTGTGTTATTACATTTCCACAAACAATTTTTCATCCGTTCCTTTATATCTTGTGTAAGGGATTTATTACTTCTATGTACTAACAACGTTAGCTTTACATTTGAAAGCGATTGTTTCCGCCAAGTTGATGGTTTTGCTATGGGAAGTCCGTTAGGGCCCCAGTTAGCAGATATTTATATGTCGTTCGATATTGGACCATCTGGTGCAAATCGGCCACAAATCCAGCTTGTATTGAAGAATCCTTCTCTATAATCTGTCGGGTGCCTAATAAATCGCAAAATTCGTCGAAGCACCGCATGCTCCATACAGCAGAGGCTATTGCGACTTGCCTCAAACAACTAGTGCTCTGTGTTCAAAAGAAGCAACTTCAGCCAGTCACTACTACTGCTCTGGCTGGCCTTCAGTAGAGACTATAAATTCATGAATTTGTAGTATTGTTTTTCCTAATTTTTCTGACATTTAGCTTATTTTATGTTGAAGCTATTGAGCTGTAATCTAACATTATTATTGAATCGATGTTATTTAAACGATATTAATGTCAGTCATAACACTTATTCATCCATTTATTATAATAATAAATAATAATTTTTCCTTCACGTTACCAGTGGAACATAGAGGCTTGAAGTTTCTTTAGCAGTGGTGTTTATTTTTGCGGAACAATGGGATCGCTAGCCTCATGCCCAACCTTTCCTCTTTACCAGCATTATTTCTGGCTTAGCGAGGTAAATGAGTGCGTTGGTGGCCGGGAGTCGAACCCCGGACCATTTGCATGGTCGGCGAGCGTCCTAACCGCTATGCCACTGACGCCTACTTCCAATAATTGGATATGGTTAAATTAAAATAATGTAACTTACACTTTTCTTTCCGTTTCATTTCATTACAGACGTCGTCCTGTTCGACACGCACGCTCACACACACACGCACACAACTACTTGCTGAATTTTGAATGTCACTTACTTACTACTGAAAAAAACACAACAACAAATCTTCACATGATTGATGCAATTCGAATTCTAAAATCGGGTGATAATGATGATTTAAAAAATCTTATACAAACTTTTAATATTCATTCACGCGATGCAGACAATAATACACTATTGCATCATGCATGTTTATTAGGCAATGTTGAAGCAGTACGTCTACTGCTCGACAGTGGTGTCCACGCGAATGCTTCTAATATTGATGGACAGACGCCGATATGTGATGCAGCTTTAAGTGGTTCAGCTGAGATTATTTCTCTTCTGCTCAATAGTAAAGTTGATGTCAATCCACCATCGTATTGGGGTTCACCGTTAATTTATGCTACACAAAATGGTAGGCTTTATCTTTCCCCTTTTTATATCTCTTTTTAAATAATAATATGAAATTTTTATAGAATCATTACATGCTATGGAAGTTTTAATCGAAGCTGGTGCAAGTTTAAATTCTCCTGAACGTTCTGGCCTGTGTCCTTTACATATAGCTATACAAAGAAGATTTTATGCTGGTGTTTATCTACTACTTTCAAAAGGTATAGTTCACTTTTTTTTAAAAACTCGTTTACAGAAGAAGAAGAAAGCAGAGAAAGTGATTAATTGTCTTTTATACACCTCACTAATTGCGTTTTGACACGTTTAAAAAAGTATATGAACCAATCGACATAGGTGCCTGCACACTATCTCCCGTGTAAAGTGGTATAATAAGGTGAGCAATATTGAGGTTAGGCGTCGGTCGATTGCTAGGTAGGTGGGAGGGAAAATCAATAAACTAGGCTGTGAAGCGATTGCATCAATTGAGATGGTTGGGACATGTGTTACGTATGCCTAACCATCGTCTCCCTCGACGGGAAATGTTAGCTGACATAGGGTCAGACTGGAAAAGAGCTAGCGGCGAACAAACCAAAACATGTCTTCATTAGTCAATGAAATCCACAACAGTTAGTTAAAGCTGGCCACATAGGAAGGTGTAGACTTCCTGACTGGCTAGGGTCCTCGGGACGGTAAAAACCGATAGCTGGAGACAATTAATTGGTGATTTGGCTCAAAGTGATCGTTCTCAATGGCTGGCGCCGATGTATTCACTCCTTGTGATTTCCACTGAAACTATATTGTTCTTCGTTATTACTATTCCTTTGTCTCACACCTCTATTATGCATTTCTTCTACTTTCTTGTGTTACTTTGTGTGCTACATGGAGGGAGTGTGGCGACTTGAACTGGTGCACATCGGTGCAAAGTTCTATGTCGAAAACAGACAGACAGACAGACAGAGGTAACAAATCATTTTGATTTCATGTTAGGCCGAAAACTGGTTCCAGTTAAAAGATCGTCAAAAACCGAGGTTGTTCCATTCTGGCCGTATGTACCCATGATCCTATCGCTAGAGACCTAATCTAGGACCTTACGATTACGAAGTGAATTCCTTGACTATTCAGTCACTGGGAAGGAATCGGATGACGCATCAATCCTAACCTTTTCTGTTGGTTTACAGTTTATTATAGCATCACTGTTAGCTGATATCATTGGTGAATATCCGTTCTCAAGACGGAAATATAAGCATTTCAGAGGTGATAATTTTACAATTTTTTTTGCATGGATAATCCCCATCTAGGCATTAATGAAAACAAAACACGTAGATCAGTGAAGAGTCTTTTTTCGGCGGCGAATTCATTTTCTTAGCTGTACAATCGCAAATATATATGTATGCGTGTTATTTTGTATGAATGTGTACATTAAGTTTGTCAAACAAAATTACAATTGGTTATGGTTATTTTAACTAAACAGGTGGAGATTGGTAATACAATTCGAGAAAATTAGGTGTTAATGAAATTAGGGTAGTAACAATGGTGATGATTTGTCACAAACAGTTGTTAAAAGAAGTTATGTAATAATAGTATGAATATTTTGATGAGTTTTACTCAGGATGCACATAGAAACAAAGTAGATAATACGTAATTATGTAAGAGATCTAAATGAATACAAGAATTATAAGCAATTAAAGAACAGGCAAACAAACAAAATTAAGTCATCAAAACAAAAAAACTCAAATCAAATCAAAACAAAAAAAGTTGTTACCATGATCTTAGAAGTGGTTGAGTAATCTTGTTTTGTATGCACAGCTCCGGTGTTTCTATGTGAATGGCCAGAGCTTCAGCGATATAAAGAAGACGAAACCGTATTGCCTTTGATAGGTTATTTTTGACTCTGTAGATTACTTTGAAGGAGGTGTTTGTTGAAATGGAATGATCAGTGGTAACCAGGTGTTCAATTATCGCACTCCTTATTATTTGTAAATAGTTCAAGGTCGATGCAAGGTTTCTCATCAACATGAACCCACTTTCTTTGATTCATTTAAACAAAGCGGGTAAAAAAAGCTAACATTATTCCACAGGTCATCGTCAGTCATCGCTAACCGCCTAAAACTGTGTGAAGTGGTATAACAGGGTGAACAACACTGAGGTTAGGCTTCGGTCCAGTGCTAGGTTAGGGGGCAAAATCGATAGATGAGGCTGTGAAGTTACACAGGTTGAGATGGTTAGGACATGTGTTACGCAGGCACGCCTAGTCATCGCCTTACTCGACGGACAATCGTAGCTGACATAGTATGGATCAGACTGGAAAAGAGTCAGTGTTGGTCAAACGAAAACATGGCTTCATCAGTCAATGAAATCCACAACAGTTAGTTTAAGCCAGCCACGTAGGAAGGTGTAGACTTCCTGACTGGTTGGGGTCCTCTGGATGGTAAATGCCAATGATGGCTGTAGACAATTAATTGGTGATATGGTTCAGAAAGGAATACAATTGGTGGATGGTGGCTAGCAGTGGAATCCAGGACAACACGCATTTCGTCCTATTTGGGACTCGTCAGCTGGATGTACCTGCATTTCTCAGTGAGTGATGATGTTCCCACCGGGGCTCCAACCCAGTGCCCATAGTTTCAAACGCCAAAGCGTTATTTACTAGACTACTTGGGCCACGAGAGCTACCTCTTGTGCAACGGGTCATCTGAATTATTGAATTGAATTTTAGATTTTCCCGTCGATTGATTGGACCGAAGTGCTCGGTCTCAGGTTGACATGTCGGCTTCTAAATGACTGGTGCAGATGCATCCACTCCTTGTGACTCATAATACACAATAAAACTATATTGCTCTTCGATATTACTATTATTTATGCCTCATCTCTTTGTTCATTGTCTCTGTTTAGCATTTCTTCTTTAGTTTCTTCTCTTGCTTTGTGTGCTGAGTGAAGTGTGGCAACACGAACTAGGGCACATCGGTGCAAATTCTATGTTGAAACCAGTCAGGCAGTCAGTCAGTCAGTAACTGCTGTACTAGGTGACCCGGATTCTAGTCTCTGGGGTATGTGTGAGTGTGGGACACGAGTTCCTTTATGGTTGCAGATACTCCTTGCCGACGAGTGAGTGCCAACAAGCAGAAAACCTAGGTCTAGTTGGGCTTCCTGCCTATTACCTCCAACCATCTAATAAATCCATAAATCATGGAATTATAAATGTAGGCTTGCTTACAGAGGGAAGAATGAAGACGATGGTTAGACCACCTGTTGTGTAATTGGTTACATTGTCAATGTATAAAACAGATAGACAGACAGAAGGACAGACAGAAAGGGTCGCGTAAAGAAGTAAAAAACCACTGAGTAATGAAGTCGTTTCACTTACCGGTTTACACATCATCCTTTGTATATCTTCGTTCACTGTATTCATAACCGCTCTCCCTAATATTTTGTCTGAAACAGACAAAATGTTTTTGTTTACCATCTACTAATGGGGACAAATGGTTATTAGTCATCAATCACTTTGTATATTATGTAATCTGTGAATATTGTAATTCTGAATTGATTATCTTTATCTGATTATTGATAATTTGTCAATCTGCTTGGGGTTATCATTTTATGTTCTTTCCTTCCTTACTTAAATAAGATGGTAGTAAGAAATAAAGTGTCTGTCCACGTTTGTGAATGAAAAACAATATTCATTGCTGAGAAGTGGTTAACAAATTCCAATAATCAGTGACTTGAATACAACAATAAGCGAAAGACACTCACGCGCAAGATTAGACAGTGTTTACGTAAGGACCGCGAAGCCTGGTGGTCAGAACGTGCGTGTGAGATGGAGTCAGCTGCTGCATCTGGCAACAGTCGAAAGCTGTTCCAACTCATATGAGCCACCGGCAGCAAGAAACAAGGTGTCAACGTGACGGTCTGTGAGGCAGATGACACGCCAATTACCAGCTTGAAAAGACACCTGGAACGCTGGGCAGAGCACTTCGGGAAACAGTTTAGCTGGCCAACAGCTTCAGTGTCTACTGTCAGTAGCCCCAGTGCTTCTTGGTCGGTTATTAACGACCCACCCACCGAAGCGGAGGTCCGTAAGGAACTAAAAGTGTTGAAACGCCATAAGGCACCCGGCCCAGACAATTTACCCCCGGCTCTTTATAAAGATGGTGGCGAGACTCTCACAATGGCTCTAGCGGGGTTGTTCAGGAAGGTATGTGAGGCAGAGAGTGTACCATCAGTATGGAACGAAGCCAATATCGTCCCCATCTTTAAAAGGGGTCGACGTAATCCGTGTGACAATCATAGGGGTATCAGTCTGCTACTAGTCGCGTCTAAAATATCGGCTGCTGTCTTGCTTCGCAGGCTGTGCAAAATACGTGAGGGATTGATTCGCCAAGAGCAGGCTGGGTTTCGTTCAGGTCGTGGATGAATTGATCATGTGTTCACCCTTCATCAGTTGTTGGAACACCGCCACACGTATTGCAGGCCAACGATCGTTGTGTTTCTTGGTGCGTCGGTGGCAGAGTGTTTAGGACTCTCGTCGACCATGCACATGGTCCGAGGTTCGATCCTCTGCCGACGCACACCCGATATCTATGGTCGGCCTGCAAAATTCGGGCTACCGATACCCATGCTGAAAATTCCATACTTGTACCAAAAATACAATGTGGAATCAAGCTGTAATCAAAAATAAATAAAAATAAATAAAATAAAAATAAATAAATAAAAATATTAAGGCTGCCTTCGATTCGTTGGACAGAACTGTGCTCTCGAACTGTCTGTTAGAGAGAGGTGTACCTGAGAAATTTGTTAACATCTTGAAAGCCCTATACAGAAACACCTCAGGTAGAGTGAGGGCATGCAACCAACTATCATCACTGTTCCCAACCAACAGTGGGGTTATACAGGGTTGCCCAGTCTCTCCATTTCTCTTTAACTTCGCCATCGATGACATTCTGGAGTCAGCTCTGAAGGATGTGCATGAAGGTGGTGTAGATCTACCACCTGGAGATAGACTTTTCGACCTAGAGTATGCAGACGATGTCGTCTTACTGTGCGATAGCATGCAGGCTGCCCAAATCTCACTTAATCAGTTGGCGATCAGTATCTGTGAGTATGGTATGTACTTTGCGCCGTCTAACTCCAAAATACTGTTGCAAGATTAGCAGGAGCCTGTACCTGCACTGACTCTTGCGGGTGGACCGATTGAAGCTGTTGATAAGTTTATCTATCTTGGGTAGTTGTGTGAGTGCTGGCGGAGGAGTGACGGATGAGATTTCCAACCGCATAATGAAGGCTAGGGT